CGCCGCAGGAGCACGACGCCAGGGGCGGCTCCACTCGCCAGGGTCGACGCCGCATGTTGTTCGAAAGACTGCCGAGCGCACCGGGGAGCGCCGCGCGAGCGGACCTGCACGAGGCAGGCTCACGCACTGAGCACCGCGGCCTGCCTCCCCGCTGCCGCCCGCCCCCCGAGCTGCTGCGCGCCGCCCTGGACCTCCGAGGCGCTTGCCTCGCCAAAGCCCCGCGCGGAGCCATGCAGAGCACGCGTCCACCGCGCGGGCGGCCTCGCGTCTCGTGCCTCCCGAGGGTGGCCCTGGGCTTCCTCCGGGGGCCGCCTGTGCGCCCTCCCCCCCTCCCTGCCGCTCGCCCGAGCTGCTGTGCGCCGCTCAGGACCTCCGAGGCGCTTGCCCCACCAGGAGGAGGAGGAGGAGGAGGAGGAGGAGGAGGAGGAGGAGGAGGAGCAGTGTAAAACCAAGAGACATCACCGATGTTGGAATTAACCCCCCATCCAATCTCCTTCGTCATAAGCCCCTACAACGGTTCAACTCCATTGAGGGAACTGCCTAGTTGCAAGACAACCGTTTGAAGATCCTGAAGTATGCCAAAACATTGTTCGCGGGATTTGAACGCCACGTATCAACCTGACTGCTGCGTCTTGCCGATCCGGAATCGTGCCACAGCGCCATCTTTGGCACTTCAACACATCGAATCAACATAACTGTTGCACCCGCGTAATCCAAAACCCTTCCAACATACCATTTCTGGTACGTTGATCATGGGAAGCCGTGGAACTCTTGCAAACGTAAAAAATAAGCAACGCGGCGCTAAGGCAGGACCCACATTTTGAAAACCCCCCGCCCTCAATCCGTGAAACTCTTGCAATGTTTTCAGACGAATGCACGCGGCGCTAAGGCGAGAGCCACATCTTCCAAAAACCACCCGCCCTCCATTCGTGAACCTCTTGCACAGTTTAAAGTGAATGCGCGCGGCGCTAAGGCGAGACCCACATGTTGAAAACCATCACCCTCAATCCGTGAAGCTCTTACAAATTTTGCAAACGAATGTGCGCGGCGCTAGCGCGAGAACCACATCTTGAAAACCACCCGCCCTCAATCCGTGAAGCTCTTGCACATGTTTAAAACGAATGTGCGCCGCGCCAAAGCGAGAACCACATCTTGAAAACCACCCGCCCTCAATCCGTGAAGTTCTTGCAACTGTTGACAACGAATGTGCGCGGCGCTAGGGCGAGAACCACATCTTGAAAACCACCCGCCCTCAATCAGTGGAGCTCTTGCACATGTTTAAAACGAATGTGCGCGGCGCTAAGGCGAGAGCCACATTAAAAAAACGACCCGCCCTCAACCTGTGAAGCTCTTTCAAGTGTTCAAAACGTATGTGCGCGTCGCTAAGGCGAGACGCACATCTTGAAAACCACCCGTCCTCAATCGGTGAAGCTTTTGCACAATTTGAAAACGAATGTGCGTGGCTCTAAGGCGAGAGCCACATCTTCAAAAAACCACCCACCCTCCATTCGTGAACCTCTTGCACAATTTAAAAAGTAATGTGCTCGGCGCTAAGGCGAGAACCACATCTTGAAAACCACCCGCCCTCAATCCGTGAAGCTCTTACAAATGTTGCAAACGAATGTGCGCGGCGCTAGCGCGAGAGCCACATCTTGAAAACCACCCGCCCTCAATCCGTGAAGCTCTTACACATGTTTAAAACGAACGCGCGCGGCGCCAAAGCGAGAACCACATCTTGAAAACCACCCGCCCTCAATCCGTGAAGTTCTCGCACATCTTGAAAACGAATGTGCGCGGCGCTAAAGTGATAACCGCATTTTGAAAGCGACCCGCCCTCCATCTGTGAAACTGTTGTTGCTTCCGAAGCCTCATAATCATAAGTGGTGAGGAAGTCTCAAGCGAAAGCCCGGCCCGCCCTAAAACTGGCCTCGGGGTGCGACAGGGAAGAGTTATCTATAAGGAGAAGGAATGGAGGAGGAGGAGGAGGAGGAGGAGGAGGAGGAGGAGGAGAAGGAGGAGGAGGAGGAGGAGGAGGAGGAGGAGGAGGAGGAGGAGGAGTTCTTGTTTGTTGTCCCCCTGGGGGTAGGACAAACGTTTGTTTATCGGAAGAGGAAGGAAGCAGCCTCTTCCTCAGCATCGAGAGCAGGCCCTGGAGGCGGCGCCTCCTGGGCCTGCCCTCCAGGCCCCAGGGATGGGGCCTCCTGGGCCGAGTGCCTAGGCGCAGGGCCCCGAGACCCTCCAGGAGGCCCCAGCAAAAGCGGGCCCCGAAAACCACCTCCTTCCTCGCCCAGCTCCCTGGCCGCGACGCGGCGCCGCATGGCCTCCAGCGCTGGGAGGAGCTCGCCCTGCTGGGCAGGGAGGTGAACAGCACGTCGCCGAGGCTGCTGGGTCTGCAGCAGCCGCAGGCGATCCACATCTGAAAGGACATGGAGGACCACCCCTGGCGCACGATCGGACTGGGGGTGGAGGCCTCGCATCATTCTGCCAAGACGACATCGCG